GCGAAAATAGCTCTTCTTGAAAAAACCGGAGCCTCGACTTTCAGGTGATTTGGAAACTTTAGAAATTTTTTGGATCACTTTTTTTTTCCTTTTTTTTACTTTTTGATTATTCACCGGGCACCGATGGGCACGGGACTCAACCATTCACCTCGTACATTTCATCGATTCAATCGTCTAACATTAATTCACGGTACTATATAAACTAACAAGCGCACAGTATTAGCAATATTAAGCTCATGAGGTACAGTGTGCTTTTACACCATAAGTAATCTACCACATTTGGCGAGAGGTTGTATAGACTGAAATCTGAAAGCCCATAGTATAAGTTTCCACGAAAATCAAAGTGAAAAGTGTACGGATTTGAAACGATCCGATACACGGTTTCGATTGTATATAAAATAAAACGTATAATAGATACGATATATTCGTAATTATTAAACGAACGCAAGACGAATCTGATAAAAATATCAATAAGCGCAAAAAAGTTTTTTCTCATTCTTTATTACAAGTATAAATTAAAATCTGTTGTAAAATAGATTAATGAAAATATCAACGACGCCTCTCGTTATTGAAACGGGATAACAAGTAACCAAAGCCGTAACTTCCGTCACTTTATAATAATTGTCTCGTAAAATTTGTGCGAGTCTTCGACTTAATTTCGATAGTTTCGTTTTTCTTGATTTCTTTTTTTCTCTTTTTTTTTCTTTTTTAAAGGTAGTATATTCGGTTTTCGTTTTATTCGATTTAAAGTCCATGATATAATTACTAGAAACATCTCGCCAGACAATTTGGATCGCGGCGGTCAGGCACCACACAATCACTTTGTAGAAATTTGTTTTTCGTTAGGTTACTTTGAGCGACGGTGTTCATCGTAATTATTGTATATCGATTGTGAATTACGAAAGTTCGAAGCCTGTATTGCTGGTGACAGCGTAACGCAGCTTCTCCCGTAAGGTACTTTTCTTTTGGTAATTTGGTAATTTAAGGAGGTTAAAACACGTAGACGACGTAGGTAAACGGTTCTGCGGATCTTTCTTACGAATTGTAAAAAATCCCCTTATTACGCTACCTAATTCACAAGGAATCAATGTGATCAATATTAAGCATGAAAAGTTCAAATGATATCTAAAATTTCATACCGATTGTATCACCCGTATCCTCGTCGTCGCCGACTTCAACGCAACGAATTGAAAAAGGTGGTTCTAGATGCGCGAAACCCAACAATGGTGATTTCGAGCAGCTCGTGACAAACTACAAGGGAAAGAAATATACCGAAACAGTGATAAGGATTATTTTCGATAGTAATGCTGCAGTACGATATACCTTCAAAAATAAGCCTCTTTCCTCTTCAGAAAAATCTTTTTCCAATATATCCCATAACCAACACACTACACGATGGCTATCGTGAAAGCCACCATAGTATTGCGTGTGTCTTCTCAAGTCCCGTAGATCTAATGGAACATTATCACCCGAAATTAATCTTTGCAACTAAAAACAAAGACATTTTAGAGAGATATTTGCTCAAGAGATATTCCGCTTTCGAAAAAATCATTATCTTACTTCTGGGGTTGAAAACAATGCCAACCATTCGGGATTGATTATAGAACGGAATCCTTTAATAAAGGCGGCTGTTTGATCTTTTATTTGCATGTGCATTCTGAAATGGGCCATTAAATGTATATAGTTGATTTTATTTTCGTTGGTGACCGGCACCGCTCGTCCTCCGGGAACCAGTTCGTGCGTAACTAATTTGCCTAGAACGTCTTCATCAAGGGAGAAGGTTAACTCTAATTGTCTAACATCGCCTTTATAGTGCTTTACAAGGGTAAGACTTCGATATAAATCTCGATCTAGAGAAGCTAACTCGTCCAACCAGCTATACAATGCACCCCCAGTTTGCCCAGAAAATTGGGAAACGAAGAAGGATGCGAAAGGTACATCTACAACAATACCCTGAAAAAAAAAGAAGATTACTTGCAAAATTCAACAGAGCGTCAAGTGGTTAACTATATTCTCACTTACTTCGTACACCGCTTTGCCCAACATACGACCAACAAATTCGAACAGTTGCAAATGATTATCTTGCATAGAGGATGTTGGGGATGGATAAAGTCGATTCTCAGTAGTGACTTTAAATAAATTCAACGATGGATCGAAAACTTTCTTTATTGTCTCCTCTAAAAACTCTTTAAACACTCCGTCTTGGTCGATGCCAGCCTCGGCTAGACCCTGTTCGTTGACGAAACGAACTCTTATCACGCCTTTTAACGCCTGGGAGGGTAACATCGCGAGTTGACGATAACCATCCTCCACTATACGTGTCCTAAAAAATATTTACATGATTTATTCACGACATTATTGTTGCAAGTAACATCTAAATACCTGTGAACAACTATAAGCGTTGTCGGGGTACTGTTGCAAGCACTTTCCGTCAAACCCAAAACTGCCTTCTCGTTTGCAACGTGTTTACGAAAGAGCACTACGCGTTCCGAATGAGGAATAACGTGAGGCATTTTAGAGAGGAGAAGAGCTGCGCCTCGTCTACCTTTCTCCAAATCTGCCAGAAAACCGGACACTCGAACTTCCTGTTTTAAGATCGTTTCAATATTTATATCGTGCTATACATTGTTAGAAATAATTTGATCCTGAATACTTAACTTCGCTAACCAGTGCCCTTCCGGACAGAAAGTCCGCCTACAGTCTCGCCGATAGATTGCCATTAAAAGAGTATGCAGAGAGGTGAACAGAGGATTATTAGGAACCGATTTCACGTCTGGAACATCTAAAACTTCAGTACATAGCTAAACCACTTATCTCTTATAATTATATGCAGAAAAAATAAAGGATCTTAAGTATATTACAAAAGAATACAATGCAAAGCCTGTAATACACACCAAACAAGTTATTAAGCACTGCCTTGTATAAAAATTGGTTTAAAAAATACGATATCGTTACAAAGTCGCTTAGCTTGAACGGATCTTGCTGTTCGTACATTTCCATATCGTCTAAAATTCTGAATAAAAGTAGAATGCTGTTAATATTGTAAACCACTTTTTATATTTATTTCGGTGTATTGTAATATATACATACGTAACGTAATGCGTCATACAATCGGAAAATAATATCAACATTTGAAATTCGGGTGCTGTACACTTTGTATTAGCAGCTAAATGGTCCAAGAATGCTTTCAAACCACAATGTGGACCCAGTGTTCCCAAAAATAAATACATGTGGTATAGAATTTTATCTTGATAGCATAAACCTAATCCATATGCAATTATTAACGTGTTATCAGAATTGCTTATGAGTGTACTTATCAATACTTACCAGTTAATATTTCCATCTTCATTTGTGTAAGTGTATGCAAAGCAATTTGATAAAGAGAACAGATTAGGGCTATTCTAGTGGTTTCTGGACTTCCCAATTTTCTATAATTTTTGGTGTTATTATTTCTATTTGTACGTGCTTCCAAAAACGCCCTTCTAAAAATGTTGGTACCAACAGATGTACTCTGTTGTTCTATTGGTGGAGGTATCTCTTTTTCAATAAGTTCTGTTAAAGGTTGACCTAATGAAAAATTGTCCTGTAGCTTTTAAAGCCAGTTTCATTATACTTATGCATGAACAAAAAGATAATACTCCTCATTACCAATTAATTGTGAAACTATCCTTCCTGTCCACAGACAGGCTAATTGTGATTTCACAAATGGGATAGGTTCTTGTAAATGTGTATCAACCTTTTGTGCAAGCCACCCAAGAATAGGATGCCAATGTGTTAAATTACTTTGTTTGGCAACTACATATTGCTGACATGCTTCCAACATTTTTGTTACAACAAACTATAAGATTTTTCAAATATAAAATTCGTTTTATGAGCTACATATGTCTTATGCAACAGATATATACCGTAAAAGAAGGGAAGTATAACTCTTTCAATACTTCATCTCTTTCAATATTAGCCATCTGTATCAAGTTGGCTAGCAAACACAGTGCAAAACTACCTTCCAGAGCATTAAATACTATTCTTAAATTTTGCTCTGAGTTCAACAATTCCAGGCTTCTTGCAAATAAATTGTTTGCAATAAATGATGATATACACTAAAATACATGAATAAGATGTATCATATGCTGTAAAGTAAAGTTTAAAGTGGTAGATTACTGATCACATACTACTGATGATATACTATTTAAATGATAGACCAATCCAGGTACACTGAAAACATTAATTAAAAACAGTGACACCAATTTATCAGACATCTGGGATGAGATCAGTGGTCTTAGTGCCAATGTGACTGCAGCTGAAAGTGCAATTGGTTTTAAAGCAATATCCACTCTACCTAATCCTTTTATTAGAAAAGCCTACAATAAAAAAAGATGAGATGTAATTTATACATTAACTGTATCCTAAAAGTAAACACAGTGAATAACACAAGAATATCACTATTAATAGGATAATCACTTGCATAATGGGATAGAACCCATTGTTGACTAGGTGACCCATTATGTTTGCACAAAGCTGATTCATGCCAGCTTTGAGCTTTTCCATTCCTTCCACTTTTTGAATTGCCCATGTTCCTGGTGATGTAAAACTAACTAATGTATGTAATCTCAAATGGATGGACTTATGGTCAGATATTCTTTCTGGTTTAAGATTCTCTAAGCCATTCAAACAATAGAGCAACAATGTTTTCATCTGTGATATCCATGATATGTAGTGATCTTTGTTTAATACGATTCCTACATAAGAAGTTTCTGGAGACTCTGAATCTAGAGTCAATACTAAATATCTGAAATATTAACACTTGTAAATTTTTTTACACCTGTTTATTATCTCCTGTCATTTTAAACTTAAAAGGTATGCAATTCTATGCACAAACACTTTTCATATACACATACCTACATAACTTTTCCATTCTTTCTTGATCCCTTTCTTTCTTATATACATACAAAAATTTAGAAATAATCTTATACATGTACAGAGCAGGTTTTAACTCTGCACTTGTTTCTGTACCACCATCATTGAGAAAATTTGTATCAAACTCTTCTCTGAAAATCATATTCTTTGTTCAACCATTTTACAACTAATTTATCGATAGTAGATGCGAATTAAAAAAAAAAAAAAAAAGTTGGATCGTATAAACAAATCTTATACGCGGTAGAAGAAAGAAAATATACGTCGGACAGATTGCAGCGAGCAGTGGAAGATTACAAAGCGTGTAAATAAATAATTATCGGGAAGTGATTGAGACAGTACGAGTACTTTATTTACAATAGACGAAAAAATGATTAAAGAATCGTATTATTGTTACGAGAAACCATACAAATACATTGAAAGACGATGCGATAACAGAAAACTCACAATATTCTTTTACGGGTCAACCATCCCCTAACATAAGCCTGAATTAAGGTGACAGCAACCTCTCTGTCTTTCTCATGGGCCCTTTCTTCCCTAGCGGCCTTCGTTTGCTGAAGGAAGCTGTCTCTGGAAGACTCCTCAGCTTTAAACATCCTTGATTTACCGCGACGGCCCGCTAAGCACTAAATTATGCTAATGACAAAACATTGTCAGCTGGTCATCCGTGGTCACTAGTTGACACCGCGATTTAACCACCCACTAGAAAATCATCCTTTACAACAGTACACGTCACGTTGATTTCATTCGCGATATAATCACTGCGACTGTTCGGCAGTGATTGCCACTCGCCACGCGTTTCTCACCATCACATAATCCGTGTATACCTCCGAATGACAACCAACTACGACGGCCATTGTTATTAATTTGATTCGAGGCTGAATATTGAGGACAAAGGATATTAGGTTAGGTTAAAAAGCACGTGACTAGTGGCGCCATAAGATCGTCGAAGTAAATTATCGAACTCTATACATGGTTAACCGTTTTGTTCTCGGTTCACGGTTTCATTTCTCCCGCGGAGCGCTCCATTCACCTGACTTTCGAACATACATTGAATGCATAGAATTCGCAAAATTATAAAACAATACATTTTATTTCGTCTCTACTCGGAACAGATTGTATTTTATCATGTTAAACGATACCTTGAGCTGTTGATACATGACAGACGAAAACTTTGCGTAGTATATTTTTTTTATCATAAAAATAATGTTGATTTATAATACCACGTACTACTAGTCGATATTTTGTACTTTGTTTCAGAATCGGGATTAGAATTTTTCAAAAACGAATATATATAATTTCACTCGTCAATATTCTTTAGTTACGATTTTCGGTTTAAGAATTAAGTGGATAAATGCATAAAATTTCGAACAAAGAATTATTTAAACACGTCGGTACCATTTAATTCTTCAACCAAAATAGTTAACATAAAAATAACAGCAATTACGAGTGCATCAATCTACGACAATTTTAAAAAATATCTACAATAGTCGCACCCAACCTATTCGCTGCGTACTTCATTTTTTCATGCTTTTATGAAAATTCTTTTAAAGAATTCGAAAGTGAAAGTGTTACATCCGAATCAAACAATCTTCTTGTTAAAAACATTTGTCATTGTCTTTCGTAATAAACTTATGCTACAAACTCTAATTTAAATTGTCCTTAAATTAATGTGTACTTTTGTTGCTAAATGTTTAAGGTAGTCCATAAAGTTTTAACGTTCTGTCCATACTGGTCGATGCTATATACTGTGCATGTTTTCCGAAACGAACACCAGTCGCGGCTGCTGTGTGGTCATTGAGCACTTTCAGTTCTTGCCACTGTTTACACAAGTACACTCTGGAAAAGAAAACATTAATAGATAAAAAAATGATTCCTTAATATAAATCACATTGAACATGTCAAGTGCAACAGTTTCTACCTCACGTCTGTTCCGGCCACTGCCAAATACGTTCCGCTTTGATCGAAGCAAATATCTTTAACTTCGTATGATTCTTCTAATTGAAGAGTTTTGAAATTCTTCAGTTTACGCAAATCCCAAAGCTTTACACAAGAGTCTTCTGCAGCGGTAGCTAAATAGTAACCATTTTCGGAGAAACTGATCGCTGTAATTGGTCCCGAGTGACCTGGGAAGTTAGCTACATTCGACTGTTCCTTTAAATCCCAAATTTTCACTTGGGAATCTTGAGTGCCAGTACCAAAAATTAATCCGTCAGGGTGGAATTGAGCCGTGGTTAAAGGTTGACTAACTTGTCCAGCAACCTATACCGAAATGAAACGTAACGTAATGTATCACTCGGAATTTGGATATTCTGAAAATTTCTTCACATTTCTTCTCATATACCTTCGTCAATAGTCGACCAGTGCGTATGTCTGAGAATGCCCAATGTTGATCTAGCGACGAACTTAGTAAATAATCGCCCGTAGGATGTAAAGATAGTCCAGTCACAGGAGCATCATGAGCTTTCAGTAACAAAGTTGTCTGACTAGTTCCTACATTCCAAACGCGTATTGTGGTATCAGGTGATGCAGTCATTACTATATCTTCCTCTGGATGATAAATTACTCTAGTGACCTAAGTAACGTTAAAACAATGATATTAAATATCTGAAAATATCGGAAATAATTCAAAGTAAAAACAATTTATACCTTCTTGGTGTGTCCTTTCAATATTGCAACAACTTGTTCTGTATCTTTATTAAATACTGTAGCATTTTTGTCAGCACCACCAGTTAAGATTTTGCTAGTATCTGCACTGTGTATATCAAGTGCAAGTATACCTGGTACACTGGCAGAATGGAGACCCTTGAAAATAAATCGCAATTGAAATAACGTTTTTTTTTTTTCCAAACTTTTGATGTACATTGAAAGAAATAATATTACAGGGTGAGATGCAAGTGTTTGAAATGCGCGAATACTATCTTGCGGAAGTAAATCTTCTGGTACTGAACGTCCGCGGCGTTTTCTTTCCTGAGTCAGTACTGTGGCTCTTTCCTGAAGTTTTTGTATTACATCTTCAGTAATACCAGCTTGTTCCATAGGCTGAGCAGCTGTACCACCAGCTTCCACTGCAAGTGCCTATAGTAATGCATAGTTTATCAGTATAGATCCTTGATATAATAAATCAATAAAATTAATATGTACTCTTCCACATACAGGTTGTGGAATGGTAGTAGCTTGAACAATTCCAGCTTGAGGTTTCAAAGTAGCCAGGGCTTCTCTGGCTGCAGTTACTTCTTTAGTTAATCTAGCAATTACACGGCATGCTGCATCATGTTGATATAAAGCATGAGACAATTCTTGTCTGGCTGTTTGAAGTTGTTGTCTAAGTGTGAATGAATGTAACATAACAGCATCCCATTCATCTTGCAAAATTTTTAATATAGCTGGAATTGATGTGGCACTTGGTGGCTTAGGTTTAACTATTGCAGTAGCTATGAAGAAATAAAAAAAATTGTTAATTTTATATGATATTATATAATGATGTATGAAGAAGAATAACATACTTTTGATATCTATAAGCTGATCTATAGTTAATTCCTTTCCAGTTATAGGATCTACCCCATTTTCTGACACATATTTTTCAATTAATCTTTTTTCGAATATTGAGCCAGATACAGGAGATACGACCGGGTGCTCCGGCACTTCATTAGAAACTGAAAATAGATATTTATTTATTTAAGGGATTGGTGGTAATGAATAGGCTTTAGGTTATGTTTTACCACTGCCGGTAGAAATTCAAAATTTTATTATAAAAATGAACGTAATACTTGCAATATTATTATTATCATTATTACAATACATTGTTAACATAAATTTAGTATAAATATCTGTATTTTTATCTAAATAATATTTATATAAAGGGGAAAAACTTACTCGCACAAGAAAGCGCCATTTTCACACAGGCGGGACGTGTTTTCTACGCATGACATTTTAACCGATTTACCATTGCTAGTTTTTATATAAATTTAAATATGATATTTGTATGTAATGCAGTTTTTGCAGTTATAATAAATAACATATAAATTAAAATTAAAATATATGTATATAATATGTTTTATCAAATAAACGTTATTTCTAAGAAGTCATAAGCGATATCGTGAATTTTTGATAATTTTTTGTTTTAAGTTACAAGTGATGTTGAAAAAGTAATGCTATGTGTAAATGCGACTTCCGTTTCAGTGAAGTAAACATGGCTCCTACGGTAGCTGTCATTTTTCTTGCGTCGTTAACAATACTTGCTTTTACGCCGTACAATGTTGAATCAACAAATAAATATTACGCATCGGCAAGGGTAGAGGTATTAAATGCACATATTTTTGTCAATGCAAACTTCATTATGTTAATATATCATCATTTTAAGTCAAATCTTAATAGTTCATAGTATTCAAAACTTCTTCCAGAGCTGCAGTGGTTGTCGTCTAAGCCAGCTGCCGGATCTTAAACAATTTATCTTCGAAGATTTACCTAATTAGTATCCTTAATTGAAAATTGTTAAATTGTTACATGTGTTCGAAAAACATCCAATCCTGATAAAAATGTTTTTGTGTAAAGAATTATTTTTCTGTTTGTGATTCTAAAGTAATCTCTCATCTGTGATCAAGGATAGGTAATTATACTTACGTAAGATTTTTGATTATAGAATACGTGATTTTTTAAAGCCTTTATTTCCTTATCATACTTAGAAGTCCACTTATATGAATTTTAACAAAATGTTCGAAACAATAATTTCGGAAATACAAAAGATCTTGACTTAATTCCTTACACTTACTAATACATGTTTTTTGAAGGATACAGTCATAGTAATGCTGTCAAATATTATTTATATAAATCCTTATAAAATATTATAGCAATAATGTTGAATTCAAACATATTCAAGGTGCAGTTCCAAAACTTCTTCTCTTTAATGAAAATGAAGAGGTATAATATGATTAACACATACAAATTTTATAAAATAGTTTAAAATTTGTATCTTTCAGGAAGTGGAAAGAATACCTCTGTCTAGCTTGACAAGAGAAGAGTGCAATAATCTATTAATTTCTAAATCTTTTACAAAAAAGACTGGAAAAGATGAAATGTAATAGCAAATGGAATGTGAATAAATATTTGTAAATTTGAAAAATCACTTTACAATATTTATTACAGAACAGTTTACTTTGATAATCATGTCTCTATTGTAAACTGAACTTTTTATTCATTAATAGTATAGTTTTGTAAATAGAATGAGCTGTCTCTCTAATAATAATAATTTTATTAGGTAGTTTATAGGTAAAGGGTAATAGCACAAAATAGTAAACAAACAGTAGGGACCTTTTAATGCACAAGTTGCTGTTTTTGAGTACCTCATTTTCAACATAGATGAGGAAGCATTACATTGTCTCTCTTTGGAGCTGCTATCTGTGATACAATTACTAGATCCATAATGAGACAAAATTGATCATATGGAATGCTTGGGCTCCCTTACTCAAAAGTTTTAGTTGTTAAATTTTTTATATTTTAAATATTTCGAATGGAACCAATAATTTTTTAATGAATGAGAGTAAATATTGGGAGCAACAAAAGTTTACTCAAAATTTCGAACTGAAACTTATGTAGTAGAGTACCCTGTGCATATTCATTTTATTCATGTTCTGTACAGTGTTACTCTTTTTTTGTTACGTCATGCTTTCATTTATATAATCACATGTAACAAAAACTTGATGCATTTGAAAGATGCAAAAAGTACCAGACTATGACAAAATTACTTAACATATATTAAATAACTGAAGTAGAATAATTTAAGATTTAAATTTGCATCATGTATCTAACTATGTTCAAAGTATTATTACAGTGTACTACAATTAAATTGCTTGTGTTACTGAATGTATGTACTTATGATCTCTAAATAAATCATTCATCTCAGAATTAGATGATGTTTTGTCTTCAATTTTATTTTCTGGGAATTAGGTACAGGAAAATAAGGGATTCTATTAGAAAAAAACAGTGTTTGTATCTCTACTTTATTCTAGCAATGATATATTAAATAAACTTATAAGACAATTTACAATACTTGCTTTTTAAAGAACTTACAAATCATGTTCAATGAATATAACTAATAATTCAATGTATTTTTTACATACGAAATACGTTTAATTACAAACGTTTTATATGTAAAATTCAATAACGTTTTTGTATCGGTAGTACTGTGTTTGGAATGTCGATTTTTCACTTGGCATACTAATGGGTAGCACACAAACAACTTAATCACTTTTTTCTGTCATTTTTCTAGTAATATAACCATGATTTGCCATTTTGTAATTGCCTTTCCTTCTCTTATTTCCGTAACCGCAATGCGAATAAAAACAAAAAATAAATGAGCTAGGATTACATTCTTCAACTTTTATGTATATTAATGATATATTACAGTATCATATATCATATAGCTGTATATTCGTTTTTATCTTGTTTCATTTGCATCTGGTATCAATTTGACTTAACAACTAGATTATATACACTGTTTATTATTAGTTAGTGAAAACCGTGTAGGACCACGTTAATGTAATAAAACTACGTTCGTCAGGTTTTCATTACAACCAAACGTGTATGCTTTTGCATAAAGTAGATATCTTACGTGTCTAAGGGTGATATATTTATATTTATATACATAAATATCATACGAATAGGCTTCAAAAATTCTGAAGTCAGGAAAATTACCTGCTTGAATATACGCATTCACGTGAAAATAAGTGTATAAGGAAGTAACTTATATTATTTTACATTACCAATAACAATATCGGTGATATAATGTTTATATAGAAAATTTATTTCTTTATTATAATCAAAACGAATTAAAAATAAAGTGTATGTACATGTAAAAATGTTATTATAGCTATAACAAAATCCGTTTGTTTATTCAAGCAGGTGTAGTTACTGCAGAGAGTAACAACGATTACACAAACGGGGAAAGATCGATGTATTAATAAAAATGTAATGAATCAATCCAGCAAGTGGTATAGGATTACAACATAGGGAGCAAGTAATATGGTTTAACAAAATGTTACGCCATCAAGAGCCAACATAGAAATATTAAAGCCACCCACAGAAATATCTTTGAAAGAAATTGTTCTTCTTCATACTGAGGTGTTCCTCTAGCAGCTGTACAAAGAAAAATTTGAATTTAATTCTGTCATGCAGTAAATACATATAAAATTAATTTATATAAAATATTTTACCTGCACTTGGTCGTGTTTCTCCAAAATTAAAAGTGGATGTGAAAAATGCAAATGGAAATGTTCCAATACCAAATGACATATAAGAACCATCTCCAAACCCAAAACTAGAAAATCCAATGTTATTCTCAGGCTCTGTCCTTTGTCCAGCAGGACGTGGTGGAACATTATTCCTATAATAATCCATAATATAATCTTTGTACATTATTGAATTGGATTGCTAATAGAAATATAATCTACCTTGGATCTTCCTGCTTTGTATCTCCCCGTCCATAGAGTGGAATGACTTTATCTTTGCTAATTGCAGCTTTACAGACAGGACACATCTGTCTTGTAGGACGGGTCTCTAACCATTGGTGCAAGCAAGGCCAACTAAGTACAAGAGGATGGAATAACATTTAACTTTTATTAAAAAAATATTTATTCAAAACATATGGAGGATATAAACATATAATTCAATGACAATAATCTTACCAAAATAAATGACCACACATACTGATAACTGCATTCTTTGCAGTATCAAGACAAATGTTACATTCAAATGTTCGATTTTCCTTTTCTTTTTCATCTGTAGTTGAATCCCATGGCTTCGATGGTCCTGCCTGTTCCCTTGTAGTGCTCATCTTGAAAATCTCTTGAGAGAAAAACGATTGCTATTAACGAGAATCCATAAAATATTTATTATAAAAAATACAGAAATTCTTATACGCGATTATGGCGAAAATAAAAACCATCGTTTCACGAATATTGATGCGCAACAACGTTGGTTGAAATGAAATTTTAACGATGTATGTTTTATTATCACTTGACATTGGGAAAATTATCGTAAGGGAAAGGGAACAATTTTTGTAAAACAATATGACAATTCGTTAAATCATTATACAAAAGCGGTAGTATTATACATAAACGTGACAAAACATTAAAAATTAAGCACGTATACGATCGATATTAATATATAATTTCTGTTCACAATCATTTTAATGTCCTTTCTCTGAATCTATTGGCATTCCCTGGCGCATTATATATCCGTGAAGAAAATCGGAAGTCATATGTCCGCAACAAAAATGCAGAATCGGTGGAACTACGAATAATATTAATGTGTCTCGTATGTTTCTTACAGAAAACAACGAACTGTCACATACGGATAACGTTTGATCAAAATATCAGTAGAAAAATTTGTACGGTGACCGAAGTTTATCGGTAGATGTTTGACTAGCGACAGATCGCAGGCCTTGTCAAAATACGAATGGAGCACTGTCTGCCATTGTTAACATAATTCACGTCACTTACTTTAGTCTTTTGATTGCGGAGCCCCCTCAGCGATATATCCTTCCGCGAACTTAACGCTGGTTCCAAAATGATCTGATGTATCACGTACACCGTGGTCACAATTGCGCAAGTGCCATCAGATGATTTTCATGATTTTTCGTGAAACGGATGTTCGAAATAACACGTAAGAGGTCTATCGACGAGATATCTACGTTTATCTACGGCAACGTTATCGTTGACAATCGTTTGTACGAACGATTCACGTTTTATTTTTGTCGGGCGTAACTTCCACTCCCGCTACAATTTTCGAGGCGTGATTTTAATATACGGCTGCTTAAATCCACTACTTGATTAACGCTGTACTCGGGTCGTATGATTATTTCTTATCGACCGTGTATATCATGCAGCTCGATCAAGTTCGTGGGTGCATCGACAGAGTACGCGATTAGTACAATTCGAATGAAAATCTATGTCAAAACCTTTATTTTCTTATTCTATGATTAATGGTTCAATTTACGTGTAGCAAATAAATTATTCAGAAATTCTTATAGATTCTTTATTATTGTATATTACAGTTCAGTACAGCAATTTTTATGTATGCCTCGAGATATCGACGAAACTACGGTTACCTTAAAATTGATTTCTACATCACCATGGAGTTGAAGACAACTGTACTGTTTAATGAGAAGTTTACCTTTGAGACTTATCCAAGTGATTCACCAACAAATGTATAATATTTAATAAACAATATAATATCAAACGACATATAACCTAGTCTGAAGATCTTTTCTAAAACCTTCATCGATTCGTGCATGAACATTGTAGAAACGTCAACGACAATTTATCCAGGGAAATACTTGATCGCAGGTACATACCGATAAAACAGTCTTACTAAACGTATACGACAAAATTCATTTCACGTCAAAGAATTCTTTTCTCAGAATGAAAGCAGAAGATATAGGATCTCCACAGAGGAAACTCTCGACAACTCAACTCAGTAAAATCGAGAGTCCAATCTCATCGAGGATCAAACTTAGCGGTATAGGGAAGACGCGTAAAATCGCGGGAAAGAATGCAACCTCGGTGCTTCTACAACAACGTCAAACGTTTCGCGTGATGGACGACAACGTTGACGTCACGCCAAAGTTACTGACCCATCCAACATATAGCTCGATCGACGAGAAGCACGTAACCGCGTTCGAAACGATTGGATTGTCCTCGACCGGTAGCGTCGGCCAACTGTCCTCCATTTCCGGTTGGAGCTCTATAAAAAGAAGTTCGTCCATGGTCATCAGAACGTCTTCACTTCCTGCTGGCTCTATAGTAGCGGATGATACGCAATTCGAAAGTTTATTGTCCACACAGACGGATGAAAGTTTAAATGGCGAAGTAGAGAAAGCTCCTTCTCAATTTTATTTGCCTAGGTAATTTTAAAAATTTGACAACACTAGACCGCCTTCCTTCAGCGCGTCGCCGGCGTCTGCAGCATACGATTTTCGTATACGATCTTTCGGTGCGTTGTGTGCGCATGCGCATCAGCGTTCAATCTTATTGGGACGTTCAGTGTGACGCGGGCGCCGCTCTGAAAGCAGCCTAAGACACTAATCCTTTGGGAGGGGACGCGTTTAAAATTCAAAAATATTAACAAAAATACCGATAAGCACACTCACGTCTTTTATTAACATCATATATTGTCTGTTCACAAAGAAACATTGATATTTAATTCATAGTATTACATAATATCGATAGCCAGTAACTGGTGTGTTTTTTAATCTTTCTTCATTCGTTCAGCGATGATCCGAATATTTTTCCCACTCGACCGGATACCGTGACGATCACGCTCAAGGAAACTGAGACGTTTTTCATTTTTGGGATGCATCCACGGACAGGCGACGTGCACAGCGCAGAAGGCGTGGCCATTAAAGAGGAAAACGAGAGTTACGAGTACAAAACGGTTGGACCCGGTTCGAACCGGAAATTGATAGAAGGCGAAACGCAAACTATACAAGTGCTGACGAGGTCACGAGGAACACATCTGGGCAGGAGGCCACGTAGGAATAGGGGCATGTTCGTGAACAATTGGGTGGTATATGACACTTATGCTGCGCCGGAGTTGATGATCGAGAAGAATGGTTTGCTTGTAGTGCACAAGAAGAAATCTATAGAACAAATGTCAGAAGCGGAGGTATAAATAATTTTCAGTACCCTGTATATTTTATTTCTCAATTGTTTTCTATATAAATTTTCTCTTTCCAGACCTTGAAGTCCAGACTTCCAAAATCACAAACGGCTGAGGACACGTCCATCGAGCAGGAACAAATCCGCATATTCCAGCGCGCTAATTTTCAAAACGCCATGCGAATAATGGAGCGTATAATATCCAACAATATTTTTATCCACGCGCAGAAGCGTTTCACTGGTCTGATCAAGCAGGATCCCTGCAGCCTTGACTTAGAATTCACTTATAGCCTGGACATTCTGTGGACTCACACTTATGCAGAAAGTACAGGCAGGCCAGTGGCGTCTTTTCGCTGGAACTACGTGAATAGAAGCATCTTAGCTGTAGGATACGGCGCAAAAGCAAATTCAGAAATAAAAAATGGTCTGGTGTTAATTTGGTCTGCGAAGAATCCCGGGGGTCCAGCTCGTTGGTATATTTTCGACAGTCCCGTTTCAGACCTCGACTGGAGTCGAGATAGACCTAATTTACTCGCTATTGGCTTCTACGACGGCGAGATCAAAGTAATCGACGTGAGCAGTCAAGACATCAATGTCGTACGTCGAAGTCAAAAGGTCACGAATTCCAGTTCACCACACTGGCAGGTTCAATGGTGGATCGGTGACGAGCAATACGAGTACCAGGAACAAATTTATACGTGTAATCAATATGGCTACGTGTTCTGCTATCGATACGTCGAAGACTTTACTGCAACGACGATCATGAGAATCTTCCGAATAGAAGGGACTCTACCGGGCGTAAATAGAACTGTTCAATGTAACCTATATGATATATCGATCAATAGAAGTCCCGGGGCATTGGTTCTTCGCAAACATCCTACCTCAAGCACCATTTATTTTGTCGGTTCAGACGAAGGTTGCCTCTACAAATGCTCCACGAATTATTTATATCAACACATAGACAGCTTTCTCGCTCACAATGGTCCAATTTACGCGATGAAGTTCTCTCCATTTTGCCCGAAGATTTTCCTAACCTGTGGCGCCGACTGGTGCATACGAATCTGGGCAGAAGGATTGACAGAACCACTGATAACCCTACATACGGCTATGGCTTGTGTTAGGTACGCAGCCTGGTGTCCCATTCACTCCACCATCATCGTGAGTATCGTGAATAACGAGATCTGCATATGGGACATCAGACGGAAAACGCACAAACCTTCGTCTGTGACAACGTCACCGAACACCGGTCGGTTCGTTATGGTTGATTTCACGGCGAATGGCAACCAGCTCGTAGCCGCGGACGTGGACGG